TTTCTTCCCAGAGCGAATTCGCATGGAATGTATTACTTCCTAAGTTAAAGTTTCAAAGGAATCCTGGGCATTTGTGACTGCATGGAGATGTTGCCAAACAGACTTTGCTAAACTGCAATCACGTAAAATGTGAATGGAAGTTTCATATTTTTTTGAGCACATTGGGCAGCTTGCATCCGTAGAGAGTCTTAGACCAACTCTCCAGACATTTGTACACAAGCTGTTATGAACCATTCTCCATAGAAAACAACGGACTCGTTCCGGTCCATTCCAATTCCACACCACAGGAAATAAAGGGTTCTGTCTCGAGACGTTATGGGTTCGAAGAGAAGCATACGCGGATTTAATGGTAAATTTGCTATCTCTTGAACCTCCCCACACAATGCAGTCTGCCTCGTTTTCGCCATTTGGGGGAGCCATTCCCAATATTTCAAAAACCACATCTTGGGGCATATATTGTTGAATCCTCTCGATTTCCCAGTTCCCATCTGCACTTATATAGTCAGCCACCACCTTTTGTCTCTCATCACTTGGTAAACTTGGATCTACATTGTTAACCAAAAGTCCAAAACAGTGCGAGATGGTAGCCACTTATCACTCCAAAACTTCACCGTCTTTCCGTCCCCAACATTCCATGTTAACATGGGAAGAACCTTCCCCTATGCATGACAAATACCCCTCCATATGTTCAAAGCCACCTTTTTACAAACTATCTTTGAAATTATCCCATCACCACAACCATATTTTGACCTAAGAATTTGCACCATAAAGTCTCTGGTTGAGAGCAAATACCCCTCCTTCTTTCTTCTCTTTGCAGACAGTTGACCAATCTAGTGCATGAATTCGACGATGATCCATGGTGTGTCCCCAAAGGAAAGATCTGCATGACCTATCAAGCTCATCACAAAGTTGCCTTGGGAAGAAAATTGTCTGCATAGAGTAAGATGGAATGGCAGCTAATACTGATCTAGTGAGGGTAAGGAGGCCAGCGAATGAAAGCTTCTTGACTTTCCACTGATTTAATCTTCTGTTCACGTGCTCCATTACTAAGTTGAGTGTCCTTTTGCTAACCCGTGTATGATGCAATTGGACCCCAAGGTATTTGCCTAGATTGTCTGTTGTTGAAAACCAAGTGTATCACTAATTTCATTTTTGACAACCCATCCAACATTCTTGGAGAAGTGGACTCGTGTCTTATCATGGCTGACTTTCATACCTGAGCTTGTGCAGAATAGGTCAAGGAGCGGGGCCTTTTTTTGAGTGCTTGATAGGTTTCCATAAGTCATGTGTCACAGCAATCTCAATTAAATGAAATAATCGCTCCAAACATAAGACAAATATATATGGAGATAGCGGATCACCTTGGCGGATTCCTCGAGAGGGTTTGAAAGTCTCTAAAGCTTCTCCATTCCATAAAACCTGCATTGAGGAAGTTGAATAACACTGATGCACCAGTTCAATGAACGAAGTAGGAAAACCAATGTCATTTAATGTGTCTTTAATGAAGGACCAACTTAGCCTATCATAGGCTTTCTCTAGGTTTATTTTGATGGCCATCCAACCTTTCTTCCCAGAGCGAATTCGCATGGAATGTATTACTTCCTAAGTTAAAATGATATTATCTATCGTCTATCTGTTAGGGACGAAGCTACATTGAGTTGGTCCATCTTAAAATAGCGTCGACTTTCCAACAGTATTTGCGTCAACTATTAGTCGACATTTATTTTTCACAGCTATTTCAGCGTTTTCTTGTAGTGATTCTAAAGACCCACTTTATAATAATTTAACTAATAAAAATATAAAAATAAATATGTTAAATTTTATAAAAATCAAGTTTAATTTATTTATGATATAAACATATTTTTAATAATATATATTATAATTAAACTTTTTGATTTTTTTTGACAAATATCAAATAAATAAATATCTTTTTTCAAATTTATATTTTATACATACGATAATTTAAATATATATTTATTTTATTAAGATATAATTTTTATTTTTTAAAATATATTATTTTTTAATAAAAAAAATTATGTATGTGTCAAATGATAGTGGGGGCAAGTGCCCGCACTATCCTATATGTGGATCCGTCAATGCTTTAAAACATGTTTTCTATTTTATTTTTTTAAAAGGTAGAATCTATGTTTGCGAAACACGACTTGCATTTTAAAAGTAGTGTTTTTACATACATAACTTACTCCACTTAGATAATTTTTTTAAAAAATTATCCTTTTTGAAATTTTTGAGAAAAACTCCTTGTCCATTCTGAAATGATTTTGATTTAGTATCATATGCATGAGAGATGAAAAATTAAGAGTTTATTTGAATATAAATTTAAAAATAATATTTTGAGAGATTCTCTATTAAAAAATATTTTTTATTTTTAATAGATTAACTTTCAAAAGCTATTATAGCTTGTCTCCAAACATATTCCATGGAATATTCGTAATATCATTAACATGTGTTTGAATTGATGAATGACACATGAAGGTTAATTGTCTTTGTGTGTGTTATACTTGTTTTCTTTGTTATACTTGAGCATGATATGAAATGTATCTCACTCTTTTTTTTATTGTGTATTTTCTCCATAAAATTGTTATAAAGGTCAACAAGACTGTGAGGATGATGGTGTTTAACAGGAGGTTTAAGCCTTAATGTCTATTAATGATTATTTCTTTTAGATTCAAAGTTTAATTAATTAATTTTTTTTTCAAAAAAATATAAGAAATAAAAATTCTAACATAAAATAATAATTACAAAATTACATTAATTAAACTTTATTTAACATAAATTAAAAATAAAATAAGAAATTGCATAAATTTTAAATAAATTGTAAAAAAATATAATATTTATAAATTTTAAGCAGGTATGGGCCGTATATATTAATCCTGTCCCCATACCCAGTTTAATGAATCAGGTATTATCTGAACTCATATTTGTGTTTGATCAAACTGAATATTTTTTTGTCAAAGTCAGGACGAATTCGACATTACTTATTAGTACTGATTTATTTACCATATATATATATATATATATATTTGGTAACATAAGCTAACAGGAGAAATAAAGAAAACAAAATTAGAACTGAATAAACGAAACCCCCATGGCATCGACAAACGATAGATGTTGCATCTCTGCAGGGGTTGTCCAAAATCACGAGGTCATCATTAGAGCGAAAGTGAGGGTCTAATTTCGCCAAAAGAATCTAAACATTAGTTACCTTCATGAAAAGAATGAGTCAAATGAATGTTCCTCTCCTTCTTTACAAGGTTCGATATGTTTCCAACAATGGTAGCATAATAGTGAAAAGGTAGAATTATGATTCATTACCCAACTTTAATATTTTTGTGAAAAAATGGCAAAGTTGTGAAGTGATAACTCGACTAGCCCAATGTTTTTTTTTTTTTTTTTAACATTAAAGTAATATCTTTATGTTAAAATAATATTTTTTTATAACTTTTTAATGAAAGAAATAAAAAAGTCAAACTTTAAAACATGTCTTCTATTTTATTTTTTAAAAAGATAGAATCTATGTTTGTGAAACAGGACTTGCATTTTAAAAGTAGTGTTTTCACATACATAACTTACTCTACTTAGATAATTTTATTTAAAAAATCACCCTTTTTGAAAATTTTTGAGAAAAACTCCTTGTCCATTCTCAAATGATTTTGATTTAGTATCATATGCATATGAGATGAAAAATTAAGAGTTTATTTGAATATAAATTTAAAAATATTTTGAGAGATTCTCTATTAAAAAATACTTTTTTTTTTTAATAGATAAACTTTCAAAAGCTATTATAGCTTGTCTCCAAACATATTCCATGGAATATTCGTAACATCATTAACATGTGTTTGAATTGATGAATGACACATGAAGGTTAATTGTCTTTGTGTGTTATACTTATTTTCTTTGTTATACTTGAGCATGATATGAAATGTATCTCACTCCTTTTTTTATTGTGTATTTTCTCCATAAAATTGTTATAAAGGTCAACAAGGCTGTGAGGATGATGGTGTTTAAGAGGAGGTTTAAGCCTTAATGTCTATTAATGATTATTTCTTTTAGATTCAAAGTTTTGATAGGATGTGACATTAAAACTAGATATTGGGTAATTTTTTTTTATTTACATTATGCAACTTTAGATTTTGAACTATATTATTAATTATTTTTGGAGTGTCAAAATTGTTTTTCATTTAATCAATGTTTTGTATGAATTTATTTACAATATTTGTGATTTGATGCTTTCTACTCCCAATTTTTTTTTTTCTATTTTAGAAAATACGTTTTTGTCATTCCATATAATTATAGTTGTATGTTTTGGTACTCATTGAGATCTTGTCTGTCTCGTTAGTTTAATGTCATGTTTAACTTAAACTGGCAAGGAACAATGCTGGAAAATTTGAAGATATATATATATATATATATATATATATATTATAAATTTAT